CCCTATCATTCCCCTGTCTGTTCTTCAACAGGCAGCCACGAGCTACTATTAACTATAAATGCATTCCAAAACTATAATTGATAATGAAGGGTTGACCTTGCTGATGTGCAGAATGCAACTCAAGCATGCACCATAATAAAACTCAGCAATCTTGAAGGTCTATCTTTACAAAATGTAATTAATGCTGCAGTCACCTGTGATATCCAAGCACCTCCTCCAGCAACCTGTTCTGTGAGGGTTTCTGTGTTTCATTTTGCTCCTCTGCTATGCTAACACCTCCCACAGCAGAACCAAGGAAACAAGCACCCACTCAGACAAACTAGCACAGAATTCACCACCTCCACTGGGAGTTTAAGACTGATGGGTTTGGACAGCATCTGGAGAGGTACAGATTCACAACCTGAGAGCCAAAGCAAACCACTGACAGTGTAATTTTAAACTGCTTCCAAAAGCCCTTCCAGAGCACAAAGTACACTCTCCTTTGCTGAAATATGTCTGTCAACATGATAAACACAACCCTGACAGGAGACACCATGCAAGATGTACTTGCATTTCTGGGCATCCTCTGCCCAAGGTATAGATACAGCAAGTACTAAATACTTATTTCAACATCCTAAACATACCCTTTGCTCTATTACAGGGTGAGGTGACCACAAGCAACACAGACCAAACAGCAGGACGTATGGCCAACCACTAGATCACCGGAACTTTTGTAAAAGACAAGTCATCTCCCTCTCAGTTTTCAGAACACATTTGAAACTCTCTTGATCTGTGACTGCAGTTTAATCTGGCAGAGCACTACACTGTCACAAGAATGGTCCTGCTCCCACTCCTTTGTTCCTTCTATCTCCAGCACACACACTGCCACGCAGTAAACTGGGTCTGGAAACAACACAAGCTGAAAGCCAAACTTCCCAGGTCAATGGCCACATGAATGTCACACCAGCACAGTCAGATCTGACCCTCAGAAGAAATTTGCACCAGTCTAGAACAATTGTGTTATTGCAACTTTATGATGCAATGACACAATCTAAGCTTGATGATCGGCTTAAACCAAACTCTTTGTAGTATAAAAATGTGAGTTTGGCTGATCCTCACTCCAAATCACAGTCATCCTTACACCGACACTACCACAAGTCAACTCATTTTTGTAATCCAGCTGAAAATCAAACATAAAAACAAAGTAGTCCTAGTTGAACCAGAAAGGAAAACTTGCAAAAGTGCCACTGCCCACAACGAAAATGAGG